TTGTTCCTTGTCTGCCATGTGGTTGACATGACACCCACGGGCTACCACATAGCTTCAGGTTTGTGTGTATTCACAGTGAACCCAACGTTGCTGCTGATTGGACAGGGAAGGAGAGCTTGTACCTGCCAGGTGGAGGTGAATGCTGCTTCATTATTAGCCGAGAGGAGTTAAATGGGAGTGGTGGGGCTCCTCCTACTTCCCTGTCTGCTCAAAAGCACTGGTGGAGGCAGTTGAAGAGTAAAAAGACAAGAACTATAGCCTACAAGTAGTGGACTGTGTCAGAGGTAGGTGGTGTTTTTCTTTATTATTATTATGTAAATAGTTGGGGTTGAAGTTGTGTTGTCCTGTTTTAGACTTGATGATATGGAAGAGAGTGAGCTAAGCTGTTTGAAATGTTAAGCTTCTTTACTATGTTTCTATGAAATTTAAATCCAGGTGTCCATGTTTTCTATAAAATATGATCTCACACATCCAAAGGGTCTCTTCTACTCCTTCCTTTTCTCTTTAACCTCAGGCTAGGTTACAGGTTCTTTGGCATTATTGTAGTCCTGGAAGTTGTTTTTGTTGCCTTTTGACATAAGACTTTATGATTCAGCTTTGCATGGGCGGCATCAGTTTTACATGCTAGTTTGTTTGTGATCTAAACTTTGTGATAGAGGTGACCTGGACAGTCCTAGACCAAGTTATTAGCCTCCTTCATTTGAAATTGGAGACTGATCATGAGCATGGTGATAATGTGAGTTTGACATGACACTTAGACTTTTTTTGTGATTAGTCAAGTAATCGATTCACTGATCAGCAGGGAATGAATCACCAAAACGTGGATCAGTAGTTTAAGCTATTTATCAAGTAAAAAAGACACATTTCCTGGTTGCAGGCTTCTCATATGTGAGGTGTTGCTGCTCTTTGCTGTTATTTGTCACTGCAAACCAAATATCTTTGGGTTTTGGTTGGAATAAACAAGGCAACGCAGACTAACCAATCATCACATAAGACACTTATGTAAATCAGAGAGCAGCAGCTCTTCTCTTGGTTGGAGACCTTAACAAGTTGGTCCAAATTACAGTTTCCCTCAGTGTGTAGTCATTTTCTATTCTAACATTATTTTTAACAATCCTCATACAGAGACTCAAACCAGCAATGGGTTTCCTCTACTCAATGTTAATGTCTAAACTAATAAAATACAAAATGATTATATCCTTTAATCACTTAAGCAAAAAATGCTAAACATTGTCTAATTGGCTTCTTACATGTGAGAAACAGCTTTGTCCCATGTCTTAAAGTATAGAAGGTGTAATGTCTATGGGCTTCAGATACAACAAGGCACATGATGTCACTGTGAGCTGTAATGGGGATCTGTCATGTTGTGCCATTAAGCAAAAATTGGTTTTAATAACATTTCAACACTCCCAATGGTAGGGAATGCTTAAGACACAGATAAGTGTTGCAGGAATTAATCAAGCAACCCTAATTAGGCAACATCCCACATTGCTCCACCTGCTGTGTGACGTCAAGGCTGTTAGTTGAGATCCCGGAGGCTCTTTCGAAAGCATCCCGCTCATTGACCTCATTGTTTAATTCATTTGGAACGTGTAGAGCTCCCAGATGACAGTTATTTACGATAAGTTCCCGGCGCTGCTGCATGTGTCTGCATGCCCTCAGCCTCGAGGACGTGAAGTTTCAGAAGAGATGAGCAGGTAGAGGTGTGTGAAAGTGTGTGTATACAAGACGGTTTTGTGTGATGCGGGCGTATCAGTTGTCGTGTCTGCTGGTATCTGCCCTCGAGGCTCAGTGGGAGCTGTGGCATACAGGGAGCATATGGTTGGTGGCCATGTGATGTGCCCTATTGATTTTCTGACTCCGACACCAGGGCCAGTCCATGCTGCAGTGGTAACACACGGCCTGATGTGTAGTCTGGCAAACCGTACTGACTTCTTGGTGAGGTTTTGTACAGCTATAGTGATGACACGCAGGTAAATATGTAGTCTGACAAAGTGTATTGTTTCTGGATGTGTTTTGTACTGATGTAAAAGCCTGACACCTCTGATGTAAAGCCTGTTTTACATACAGAGAGATAAGTAGGACAATTATTTAACAGCATGAGGACAGTGTTTAAATTTAAATGAACAGGAAGGGTGTTTCTGCTTCAACTTGCCAGCATTAAAGCAACAGAACAGGGAAGTTGAACCAACTGTATGCCACCCATAAAAAAGCCCATCTGATTCAGTTTTGTGTGTGCTTGGCTAAACATCCTCTCATTCTTGTGCCTCCTGTCTCTCAGAGTTGCAACCTGTGTTCTTGGAAAGCTGCCAGGCAGATTGATCACTTAGACATTGAGCAAAGATGGCATCTATTGCTTCCTTCAACCGTAAGCAGTGGGCATCCCAGTCACTGAGGGTCACCGCCAAGGAGCTGGCCATTGTCTCTGCCCGGGGTAAAAACAACGCTATCGCAGAGCGCTTCTCCAAGTAAGTCCCTTCTTACCCCATCTCTCTCTCTGCCCATGACCATGGGTTTAATTTTTTACCAGCAGATAACTTGGTTTCATATTTTTCTTTTTTTTTTTTTACCTGTCTGCGTCTGATCATAAATGAGGTCATGGTTCTTCCTCACAACATTCTGTTTCCTCTATTCTGTAAGAAAAAAAATCTTTCCATCAGTGCTGACTAGTTACTGATTTACTGACTGAGTAAAACTGAACTGAGTTCATTATGAAAGGGCTCCATCATCCAGGGTTTTCTGTTTTAAGGCGCTAACACAACACATCAAGTTAGTAGGTTGTGAATTGAGAAGGTGGTTGGATGTTTTCTCTTTGCATTTCCTCCATCTGACCAGTAGGAGCTAGTACTGGAGTGTAAACAGAGGTGTTATCTGCTCTAGCCCTAGGACACACCCTAGGACACACACAACTGCACTTCAGACAGACTGTGCTGCTTCTGTGACACAATGTGGGCTGAAGATTTTCCATCCATATTTATTGTAGCACATAAAATCATCTAATGTTTCTGGAGAGGAGCAGGGACAGTTCATGTGAATTTCCTGGGTGTGTACAGCAGGGAAGGGCAGGACCAGCTGCCTCTGCTTTGTTTGCTGTTATTTCCCATCATTGTCTTCTTGTTCCCTGTCTCACCCAAACGTCTCTCTCTCCTCCTCAGGTACCAGATGGCAGCAGAGGAGGGCAATGCGGAGAAGAAAACGGTGGGTACCATATTAACGATGTCTTATCAGTACACCCGTCTTCACTTTAGTACAGTATTCAGATGCTGTACTGAAGTAAATATTTCAATATTACTAAAAGTCCTGCACTAAAGTAAATTCTCATTCTGGACTGTGAATTTTAAGGGTGTAAAATCACTACAGCTCTTATTATTATTGGTTAATCCTTCAGTTATTTGTGATGATTAACTGATTAATCCTTTTGTATCTGGCCTAACTGTAAGTGGTGAGAAATGCCCTTCAGAAGTTCCCACAGACCAAGGTGATGTCTTGTGTTGTCAGTCAAAAATCCAGACAACAGTTGACAATTGTCCTTAAACAAATTGCAAAGGATTATTCCGTTTTCAAAACGGTAAAATGGAACTACAAGTATCTAAAACCTGTAAATACTTTCCTCCACTCCTCCTTGCGGTGTATGGTGGCCCCCCTCTTTTACTGGCACACACATGCAGCTGCTACCACACCCACTGATCCACATCCACAGTTGAAGGCTAGAAAAAGCTTTGTTTAGGGACATTAATGTTCAGCATAGAACAGTATTAGCAGCATGCCAACAGTGCCAGTAAAAGTAGATGAGCAGCAGTGGTAACAAGACACCTCCATCCCACATGATCTGTGTGGCGATGGGGCTCAGCGGGGGGAGAGGGGTGTGGGGGTCAGAGCGCTTCTCTTCACTCTCAGGTAGATGTGCTGGTCCCGTGACAACCAGTTACTGTTTGCAGACACTTGGACATGACTGTAATTAATATTTAGTACATTGTAGATTGCTTGGATTCTGAGGTTTTATTCATGCCTTGTGGTGTTCGGTCTAACACTCTGGACTGCAATATCTCTGCAGTTTGTGATGGATTTCCATGAACTGTGGCTCCACAGGATGGATCCTAATGACTCGGAGATCCTCTGACTCTTGTGAGGATGAGGTTGATTGCGTGAAATGTCTCAACACATCATTGATGGACTGATCATTTGGTAAAAGATGAATATAACTGGGGATCCTTCAGCTTTTCTTCTAGTTCCGTCAACAGGGCACACATCTAATTTGAGCTACTTTTGTTTGTTCCATTTAGTTTGACATTAACATCAGCCTCAGCTGTACTTTAGTTTTTAGCGCTAATCAGTAACTGTTAGCATGCTAACACATTAAGTTAACCTGGTGAACATGGAAAATGTTCGACCAACTAAACACCATAATGTTAGTGCTGTCACTGTGAGCAAGTTCACAGGCTGGCATTAGCACATCACTGGCTAGGTGTTGCTCTTATCACTTTAGTCAGTTACTGACTGTTCTCTAGCATTGTTTCTGTCTGCCATCCTCCTCAGTCGTAAAAGCAAAGGGGCTGAGAGAGAAGACAGGAAGGAGCCAAAGGTGCTGCTGTTAAATAAACATCCAATGTCAATTTCAGTCAAGAAAGCTGATCAGAAGCTTCCTGTTTAGTCACTGTGCAGTCATTAGTGAACGTGTTGAGGTTTCCAACACTTTTTCCCTTTACCTTGTTCTCACTTCCTGGACTTCTTTTCCCTCTCTCCCTCACTGGCTGTGTCTGTTTCTGATTTTCTTCTGCCTTCCCGCCCCTCACCCCTTGTTACCTCTCTGTTTCCTTCCCCCTGCGTTGTATGGAGTGGGCTAGTTGCTTCATGCAAGGCTCTCACATCTGGGACAGTTTGTAACCAGCAGACACACTGAGCTCCCACACACAAGCGCACAACGCCAGCTGGACGTCTGGGTCATCAGAGTCTCCCTCAGGTTTTTAACGCTGGCAAAAAGAAGAGTTTTTTCCCCTTCATCTTTTCTTTTGTGTTGCTTTGTGTGTTCAGCAGATCCAGGTCTGTAGATGTGCACGCTGAGCAGCTCACAGCTCTTCTGACTTTTGTGCCATTGTTTGTGGTTCTTTTCTTCACTTTGTTGTCTTATTCTTTCATAGCTGAAAGTGTTGTGACTTTGCTTGCACAAATACTCGCATGCAGTTTAACTTGTAAGTCGATAGCATTGTATTTAGTTTTTGTGGTTTTTTTTTAGTGTTGTTCAGTAGTTTAGGCGACAGGAGTCCAACACTGATGTGATGTCATTCATCGAGCAAACTAAAAGCAGATTCAGAGAGTTGCTGGCATTCAGCAGTGAGTCTCCTCTGACAAAGCCTCAGGAATAATGAGCCTTAAGAGCTGAAGTGGGGCTGTTGTGTTATCTTCTCTGCCACTGGTCTGTTTAAATATGTGTGAATTACAGAGTGTGTGTCCTTTGCATGGTAGGCATCAGGCCAGAGCCGATTAGTTGATTAACCAACAACAGTAGGTGATGGCTAATGGTGTATCTTTGGGTTTTGGATTGTTGGTTGAACAAAATCTGAAATCTGAAGACCTCACCTTGAGTTTCAGGGATATGTAATGGTCATTTCTCACTTTTTTCTGACTCTTCATTATTAAATTTTATGTTTGAACTTGTCATTTAAGTTCTAAATCCAAAAATTGATACTGATTCAGTATTGACTAAAACTGATCAGTGTTATTGCTTTTTTTTTATTTTTGCCATCTGAAAATTTGCCTGCAAATGTTTTGGCAATAGTCCAAATCATTTTTCAACCAAAAATGTCAAACATGCTGTTTTAAAAAAGAGCTGAGAGACAATCGATTCAATTTATAATGAAAATAATTGTCAATTACTAACAAATGCTGATTAGTGCAAATACAGTTAGGTTCAGGTTGAACAGTTTTATATCTGCAGAAATATGTCTTTATCCATGTTTGAAAAGTTGACACTGACAACATCAGTCCATGGGGAGGTTGTGGATCTACAGCCTGCTGAGTGTAGACCTGGTACATATTGTATATTGCATATCTGGATGCAGTTTACATAGCAGACAAGACTAATTGTACCTGCAACATTCTGTGCTGAATGTATAAATTCCACAACAGGACAGATGAGTGGAGTTTCTGAATAGTCCTGGTGCATGAACAACATCTTCAGTAGGAACCAGTGGGCCTGAGAGACGAACAACCCCACTGTTAGTTTGGTATTTCATGGGATTTGGTGGCAGTTCATATAGAATAAGGCCAGTCTTCTGCTTTAACCAAGTCTGGGACTCAGGATACAATGCATTTTGGGTTTGAAACCCAAGGAGGATCTCTTACTACAAATAACAGCCGAGTGCTTGCTTTTCTCTGCAGGTTACAGAGCCCCTGCCCTCGATAGTGTGCAGTGGGAATTTGAGTGCTTTAAGGAAACGCTGGGAACAACAACAACAACAACAGCAGCAGCAGCTGCCCTCATCCAGCCACAGAGCCCAACTTCAGGCCGCTCCCCGTAGTGCCGCCGACCCTCAGGGCCACATCAGCCAGTCAACGGGCCCCAAGCAAAGAACTGCATCAGAGAGTGAGACCCCGTCTGACACCCTGAAAAGCACCAAGTTCCCGCAAGGCCAGAATACTGAGCCGGAGACACGAGGCCACACTGAGTTCAGTGAATCCACCTCCAGTCAGCTGCAGTCGGTTCAGCCCCAGGATCAGATAGACATGGAGGCGAAGCGTAGCAGAGACTCAGAGGGGCAGGAAGGAGCAGCAGCTGAAGTGCTGGACTCTGAGAAGCCCAGCATTCCCCTGAACAGCCTCAAAATGATGTTCGAGAAGGGAGAGAACCTGACTGACAAGGCAAGTCTTTACTTTTCTTGCAGTGACAATGATCAGTGAGTTTTGGAATTTGTCCTCCTGTTTCAATTTACATAGGAAAGCTTGCAGCGGTGGGATGCAGACATTTACTCATGTATTTGAATACAGTACTGAGGTACTTTGAGTATTTCCATTTGTTACTTTATGCTCCTACATGTCAGAAGGACGTCCTTACTCTTTACTCTACTGTGCTTATCTGACAACTGCACTTAAATTACAGACTCCAAATTTACATTTAAACATTAAATATATGATCAATTTATAAATGATGCATTGTTGTCCAGCAGTAAAGAAGAGAGTTAAAAATGGTTCCAACTTGAAGACTTGTTTTAAGCAGGATCAGGTATTTGTATTTAATACTAATCGTGTTGTTTTTTTTTGTGTTGTTTTTTTTATACACTTGACTTTCAAAATGTAGATCCAAACATTAATGATCAGTAAATCATCACAGCTACAAAGTCTGAACTTTCTTTAGCTCCGTCTTTCACAAAATGAGATCATTATTAGTTTTAGTCTGAGTAAAAAGAAAACATCTGCTTGTTCTTGAAGAGGTCAGATTCCTCTGGTGCTGTCATGCTGCTAGTCACATGGTGCAGCCACCCTCCAAGCTTTATCTCCCCACACACACACACACACACACACACACACACACAGAGAAACACGTGGGCGTGCACACACTCAGCTGAGATTCTCTCAGTGATCATCAGTGACTGGAGCACTACTTCATTCTCCCTGTGGCAGCTAACTATTAACCATGAAAGTGGAGGCATTTAAGATCCAGTCCTGCATTTCCTTGACGCATGTAAAATAGAGATGAGACAATAATGAAATTTAATGTATCACGATACAAAAATGTCACAATGTGTATCATTTTGTCTAGCCATGTATCATGTGGTCTCCATAGACCAGTAACTTCATGTTTTTTGTAAAGCTGCTAAAGTCACTAGTTTATATCAATACCTGGACCACGTGGCTTGTGTATGAAAGGCCTTGCTTGGTGTTGCAAACCCACTGCAGGATTATCAGCCATCTCTGCAGCTCATCTCAGAGCTCTGAGGCATTTTCCCTTCTTTGAGTTCATGGAGTTAGTTTTAAAGCAACTTCACTGCTTTCGTTCCCTTTCACCGACTGTATAGCATCACTGTTAGCTGTAGCTCTCAGCTGCAAACCCACTGTATGCCATCTGCTCGGCACTAAACAGTAGACAGACGGTTAGCAGCTGAAGCATTTATCAGCTGCAGAACCAGAAATTTCCCTTTGATGTGGTAGAGACCAAAATCTGAGCTACAACAGAGTGAATATTGGACCCACATTCACCAAGTGGCCAGAGACCGAGATGGTTTGTTTTATCTGCTGGGTGTGTACATAGGCAACTGTTTGTTGTAGTTACATATCACTTAAACAGCAGCTGTTTGGTAAGCAGTTAGTCATGTCAGCTTAAACGGTGACATTGTCAGTGATGAGTTGTGTCTGCTGCCCCCCAGAGGCAAAAAAAACAAATCAGTTACTGGAAGTGTAAGTGTGATATTCTCACATCTTTAGTCCACTGAAACAAAATAAATGGGGAAAGTCCACAATCCTGGATCTCTGAATTTCACTTTTAGTTTCTCTGAAACCATGCCTAGCTAGATGCTGTGAGCACCCATGTTAGAGCAGATAACGCCTCTGTTTACACTCCTGTAACTCGAAGCCAGAGCGAATTCCCCAGGCAAACAGCCACACCTCCAGGAATTTCTGCTCATCCATTCCTGAAAGTCTTTATCTTATGAGCAGCAACTTTCTCTTTTCTTAAGTCTTCAGATGAACAGGCTCAAACAGCTCCCACTGAAAATGTGTCTGTGGGAGTGGCGTACCGGACAGCTGGGCTGCTGCTTCCAGATGCTGCACCATGCTACACTAACTGCCTTCATACTTACTGTACAAACGTTCAATGCACTATTGAGTTTTTCTCGTGCAACGTTCCCAAAACTGCTCCTTTAACAAACATTAACTGGTGTCAACAGTGCATTGGTTGGACACCAGGGCATTAATATGTATTTGGTGGATGACCAAATCATTATGGTAGGACACGGACATCCTTGCACTGAGTGACATGTTCCTTTATTATCACGAGCACACAGACTGTGCTCGTGATAATAAACGGCGGATTGATCCTATATGTACCATCCTGCTGCAGTAAATACTCAAGCACCAAATGTATAGTTTCCATCAAATGCACTGTTTAGTCATGTTAGAGTAATATTTGCTAATACAGTTTTTTAAATAAAACTGCTATATGTATTTATTTATATTTTTTTAAATTAACACCTGCAGTAACGTGCAATAGGTTTTGGAACTCTATAGCACAGAGGAATAAGATAATGTCAGGCTTTGTTGTATTTTTTTTCCCTATGAGATTTATTGAGAATAAAAAATATAGCATATATATGATCATTTTTTCTGAGATTTCATGGGATCCAGTACCAACAAAAAATTGATTCTTGACCAAAAAAGAAAAAAGGCCTGTAGCTGGAAAACCTTACAATGTGCTGTTCTACTGCTTCCAGCTCCACACTGACCTCCTACAGATGGTGGGCACTTAAAAAGCGAGATCAAGGAGTGCTGCAGGGAGACGGGGGATTTGGAGTGTTTTATGGCACAGTTGTCTGACCAAAGGAGGAATTGTCTGGTGAAATCCTCCAGCAGTAATACAAGAGCTGCAGTTCTGTAGACAGTCTTAAGGGACTTGTACAATAGCCTGCACTGTATAGCTCAGGCTGGGCCTTCTGTTCGTCTTTGTTGAGCTTCCCTTCACAGGGCAGATGATGTCATGGTGCTGGCTGAAAGACTCATGACTGCAGACAGCTAATGTGCACTCAGAGCCTCCTCAGACCATCAGAGCTGTTCTTCCCCCACCCCCACCCACCTTATCAGTCATCCCTGTTGTCTACTCTCTGAGCCTCAGCTCTCCATCAATCGCTTGTCTTTTTTTAACCTCTCAATTTCTCACCAACTGTATACTATCATTGAAAGGTTTAGACACTTTCCCTGTTTAATTAAAGCTTCCATCATGCTAAGTAACAAATAATCGACAGCGCTCATCATTCAGTTAATTTGGAACAAGATATTTCTACATTAATGATAAAATAACTCTCATTTTGTCCACTACTTCATTTTAGGACCAACTAATGACATCCCATCAGCCTCAGTTGGACTTTCTTTAGTGACAGTTAGCAAATATTAGCATGCTAACGCTAAAAGAAGACTGAAACAGTTTACCTGCTTAAAATCTGCATGTTAGCATTTGTTTAGTGAGCATGCTACTTTAGCATTTAGCTCGAAGCAGCACTTTGCCTAAGTAGCAGCCTGTGTGGATGTAGACTTTGCTGTAAGTCTAGATGGCATGCATCTTCCTGTCTGTCCTTATCTAAATAACCCCTTCTCCACCGGCCCCCTCTCCTTCCTGGGCCAAGGGAAGCATGCAGGGATCAGAGACTGAAATTTATCAGCCTGCCTGCCTAGAAAGCCTGCCCCCTCCCTCCTACACACTCGCACAGCCCAGCCTTTCTCAGCCACAACTATCCTTCCTCCCTCCTTTACTCATCGCCCCCCCCTGCACCAGCTGCTCCTCCACTACCCTCTTGTCCCAAATGACTCCACCCCATACACCCTCTGCTTCATTCTGAGGCTTGGGGACTGTGACACAGTTTAAAAAAAGAAAAAACAAAAGCCTGTAAACCCCCACCCACCCATCTGTGACACCATGGCACACTTTGCCTCCCTTCCTGTCATCATCCCCACTTTCATCCAGCCACACCCACTTTGAAAAGCCCCCCAGGAACACCTGCTCCCTGTCGCCTTTCCTGTTTCCAGCCATCTATCCTCCCTCCTCCTCCCCTAAACCCATCTCCAGAGACTTTTCCCCACGTCTCCCCTGCCATAAGCCAGACTGGGCTGCTCTGTTCAGTCTGGAGCTCACTGCTGGTCCTGCTGCTGTAAAATCCTCTCACTGCTGGATTTAGTCATACGACCAAACTGCATCAGAGCTGGCTTCACCTCATTTCACTGGTGACTCTTCATCCACTTTGGCTTTTTTTTCCTCCATTCGTCTCAAAGAGGTAGCTATTGTGTTTAATTCAGATGTGCATATGGTGTTTCATGCTGCCTTTGTCTGGCCTCTGATCAGGCCCTGGCTCCAGTGCCCTGAGCTGCTCTATACTCATACATTGTCTGTTTTTGTTGACTTCTCTGTTGTGTTGGGGTGTTTTCACTGCAGCTGAAAGCAGAGACAACATGGCTGCGAAGTAACTGTAATGAGAACAGCTTTTCAAAAGCCACTGGCTCCTTTCATCTGGGTCTGCTCACTTTGAACTGTGTTACTGTGTGGCTTGGGCTGGGTATCTTACCGTCCTGGGAGCTAATGCTATAGGTACCTTCTGTCTTTATTTTGGTATGGCTTAATGTAAGAACAGGGTACTGTGTTTGGTACACTGTGTGTGAGGTGGGTTCAGGGACAGGGTGGGGTTATGAGAACTACTAACTATGGTCTGTCTTGATGAGAGCTTTAATAGCATCAGGATTATTGGCAGATTCTTTGTCTAGCCCGCTGAACCAGCCTGCTGAGACTGAGCCCGGCCCCGTACGACCCACGTTCACATTCTACTGACCTGCACATTTACTCCCCTTGTGCTTTAATGCCAGGCACAAGCCCATGTACAGTTTGAATGTTCATTTGTGTTCCTCCACAGAGCTGGTGCTGGCTTCCATAAATGTGTCTCTAGAGTTTTGTCCTCCCCAGCCACATACATGAGAAAGTCAGAATATTAGGAACACCTCAGAATATAATGTAGTCCAGTACAACACCACCTTTAACTGGGACCTCAGTAATAAACATTATTGAATATATACACTTATGGCAATTTCACTAAAAACTGAACCAGTCTGAACTTCATAAACACAGATGTTAGGGTGGGAGTACTGCAGTGAAGTGCATACAGATGTACATGTGTACCTAATAAAGTGGAGAGTGAGTGTATACTATTAACGTCATGATTTTGTTTTTTGCTTTTTCTACTAGTGCTACTGTTCAGAAAAAAGTACAAATGCTGGCTTTAAAAGTTGCTGTACAGTAGATGTCATGTACATTGACAAAATAGTGCTAATGATCATTTTTAACAAATTCCATAAGAAGCCAAAAACAAGCGGCACGTTTGTCTGACTTCTGTATCCTGTCTGAGACACTGGGCCCCAAACCCACTGGTTTCATCAGACAGTGAATCACAACTCTAAAGTAAAACCAGTGTATGTGAAATGGACTCAAACCACACCAACCATGTTACTGATAGTGAAAGTGCAACCATGTGGCTCCCTGATGTGCTTTTCATAGTTGGTGGACAACAGTGGAGCTCTGGCAGTACGCTAGATCAGGCTTAGCAGACAGTATTTGCTAGTTGGATACACTGATTGTTCTGTTTGAGGCAGACGGTAAGAGCGACCAGACTTATCCTTTAATAGTAGATAAGTCATAAATACACACAAATAAGGTACCAAAAAAGAAGTGTCAGTGTGTCACCTGAGAAACTTCTAATGGACAAAACTGAGTGTTGAACAATGATTCACAGAAAACTGATGCACATTAACATGTCTGAACCATGCTTGTTTTTCACAAACTCTCTCAGGCATTTCAGTTGTGAAATTGTTCTTAACTTGCTGAAGCCTGCAGACATTCAGTGAGCAGCCGCACTGAAGCTTGGCAAGCCGGAGACCACCTGGTGCTGAACCTAGAGCCTACACAGAAGGGAAATGTCCTGCCTAACGGTGTCATTTTAGTTGTAAACCTGCTGGGTGGGTGTTGGTCCTGAGACATAGGTGAGCCACTTCTGGCTCTCACAGGCTGAAAGCTACAGTACATGTGATGGTTGCGTTCTGACCTGTTATGTAATCTGTACTCTGTGGCACTGGTTTGACTCAATAGTAGGAGTGTTTTGACAGCAGCAAGGCAGTCGAGACATGTCGGCTGCTGTAACTTTACCAGATCTACAAAAAAAAAAAACCCTAACAAAGTTTGTGTGTGGGCAAACACCAGGGGCTCTGTTGTGCACCCAGCTTCTACAGAAAAAGTTCTTAAAAATTTTTTTGACATTCCCAAGCCAGAGTTTTAAGAGGGGATGATGATGATGACTGCATTGTCACATGCACCTAGTTTTTTACAGAGTGTAAAGAAATGGTCGGTTTGTTTCCTGGCTGGTGGCTGTGGACAGATTGGGTGTTTGTCTCAGACTCCATCTCTCTGAGCTCATAAGGGGATTAAAGTGGTTTGGACTGGATGAACACACACAAACACACACACTACTACTGCTTTTGCATTTTTCTCAGCACTCTCCACTTCAATACCTGATGGACAGTACAGCCACCAGTTTGTTTGCTGTGCTGGCTGAAACAGGGGCATCAAATGCCTTTGTCTGTGTGTGTTTTAATAAGCCGTGCAGAAGCTGTTTATTGTGCTTTGACTTCTGTTTTATTCCCTTGTGTGCGCCTGTTTTCCACACCTCTGACTCTGTGGCTTGTTGTTTGATAGCAGGTGTCCAGAGAGCAGACAAGTCGAGGAAACAGCGGGAATACTGCCCACATGGATCAGCTACTAGGTATGCTTTATTTGTTTACCTTTGGAGGGATCCTTTTATTAGAAAGATGAGGGGAGAGAGGGAGTCAGTGAACAGCATGTAACAAATGTCCCAGGGACGTCAAAGCAAACATGGTTTATCGTAAAGGTTCATTATTAACCCCTCTGCTGCCAGGACACCTCAGATTTCTGTACCTGTAACTTTTGATCATTGTAATGTGAAACAAAACCCACAGTTTTCACAGAAAACTGAATTTTATACTTGCCAGAGTGAAAACCAGAGGTGGAAAGTAACCAAACACATTTACTCAAGTGCTGTACTTATTTTTATTTTCTCCTACTTCATGCTACAACTCACTACATTTAGTAGAAAAATGTTGTACTCCACTTAAGTTCAGTTACTTTTAGCTACTTTTACTTAAGTACTTCTTCCACCACTGGTGAAAACCCCTTTGAAATGACATTGTACACCACCACGCTATATTCACCATGGTGCCGCCTCTACCTGCTAACATATTAGCTATGTACACTGTCGTTCCTTTGGACTGCGGTTTCTGGGCTCCTGTTGAATGCAGGACCAGTAACACGGTCTTTTAGCTCTGCTGTTGGTCTCTGCCAACAGGGACAGTATCTGACTCTTGACACTGTGATCACCAGCTTTCTCCGCATTTGTCTACTCTTTGGTGCTGAGCAGGCAGTGGACAGTGAGCTTTTGGAGCTTTTTGTTGAAAATGGCTTCTTGCTGTTTCTGGAAACAAGAACTAAAACAGTATTGGGTCAGGCAGTTCTCCTGTACCGTTCAGTCGGCCACAGAAAATGTCCTCCAAAAGAATGTGTGTCATCCTGCCTTCCTGTGGGGATGGACTACATCCTTTTCTAGTGAAAAATGAAAAGCTCAGAGGTGATGACATAGGCATCTGTACCCACTGGGAGCAGCAGATTGCTTCAGTCAGCACAGGAAAAAGAACCACCCCACCCCATTTCCCCCCAGCACTGCACACAAATCCTGACCTCATGTTCCCGCCCTCAGCTTGCATGACTAACCAGCCCGCTCTGCACTCAGCCTGAACTGGGAAATAAATCCTGAACAGGAACAGTTTTGTAATAAGCAGCATGATTGAACACATTTGAGCCATGATGCGCTTCAGTAAAGTTCATTAGCTTTCAGAATCTGCAAAACAGTTAATGAAACTGATTTATCTGTGGTTGGAACTTCACTTGGCCTTTGTTTGCAGCGTTTTACATAGTCAGTATTGTGTCATTGTACCAGATGGAAGTCTTGCAGAGTCCACTCCTCTCCGGGACAGGATGGCCCTCTACCAAGCTGCCATCTCTAAACAAGACGTCCCTCCCAACTCGGTCACTGTGAGTACTCCCATCAGTCCCACACAGTTCAGACATGTAGTCGGTAAGAACGGAGCCGGCTCTTTGACTAGGTCCAACCAGGTAAAACTGCTGGTAGCACTTTGCCACAGCTTTGCTCAGACATGATGTCTACATGTGAAATGGCAGGCAAATTCCTACATGGGGGTACATGTTTGGAAGGGGCTCATTTGTTCAAAACAGGTCCCACCAGAGGACACTGGAGGTAGTGTGAAATGCATTCTAGTCAATGTTGAAGAGGTACATGCATATATAAATGTTTACTCCAAAGTGGAACAGGGTCTGTCCCCTGTGATAATAGCAGCTAATGGTTCACTGACACTGGGCATCGCTCTGTTGTTCCTTTTCAAGTGATTGTAAAATTCAGCTGCAGTGCCTTCAGTCCATTCGATGGACCACACACAAGGTTCACTGAGTTGATCCCACAAAATACAGTGCCATGTGTTTGTGTGAGTTTATGCTACTTGGCTCACATATTAATGTTGATCCTAAAATCACTTGGGTACAGTATGTGAACTGAAGGACTGGTCTTGAATTTCATGTAGTAAAACCAAGACGAGTCACAAGCAGGTTTGTGATTTCTACTAGTAGGCATATCTGGCTAATTGTAAACAATGGGTTAATAAACCACATCTGGATTTTCTGTGGGCATGAGATGCCAAATGTCAGTGGAGCCACATGTCCTCTTGCAGTCCATGGTCAGTGCTGTAACCCCTAGACTGAGATTACACACTTAACAAAAAGCCTTGTGTAAATTATGCTACTGAGGTGAATTATTGGAGTTGTAGGACCCAGCATTTTAGTATCTCAAAGCCGTACTAAGAAAAGGTCAGGATGTCAGCTTCTGCTGCTTTGATTTTGACCACTGTCTCGTTTTAAAAAGTTTAACACTGAACAGCTGGACTACCCATTTAACACCCACCATTTTATTCTTTAAATGCACCTGGATTTCCCTTCTGCTTGAGGAGGTTTCTGTAACATGACTCAATCACCCAAATGAATTTTGGATTGGAGGTGACCAAGACATCTTTGGTCATATTTTCAAGGATGAAACTGTCATGTGTAAAGGAGTGTTTATTTAGTCAGTGAATGTCCTGTCTTGACTCATGTCTGTCTCTCAGGGTGATCAGCTGGACGGCTTCTGTGGAAAGCAGAAGGAGAACGTTCCTCCGTTCACTCTGGACACGGTGAGGATTGGGACTATCACAAAAGTGCTTTTCATGCTACAGGGCCTTCAGCTCCAGGACATTTAAGTGATATAATGAATATTTCTAACATGTTTCACCACATGGTTTACTTCACTACCATGTCAAAATATGTGCCAGTTTATCAAATACACCTTTTCTTCTTACAGAGCCCAGAGTCTGAGCCAAGTGGCAGGAAAGGCTTTTCTGCAGAGAGCAATGGTAATTTGCTGTCAGTTTTCAAATGACAGGAATTCTGTTTTTATGAGAACATGGCAGTTGGATGTTCTCAGATTGGTGCTCAGATTGAAGTTCAGGAAAAAACTTTAACTTGATTATCCTAACTAAAAATGTAGCAGATCCAGTTTGTAAGATTAGTTGTTTTTCAGAGACTTAATTATCAACATGTGTATTTACTGCATTCAGAAACAATAACACACTAAGGCACATTAATTTCCAAGCATGGAGAATTCAGATTAAACATGAAAATGGCTCCCTCTAGTGTTCACACTGTGTTACTGACTTGTCTCCTGCTGGTTATTGCTCTGAAGGCTCTGCTGCTGGTTCCCCATCATCCTCCAGTCAGAAAGACCCTTCTCAGCCCAAGACTCCCAAAGTAAGTCTTCACATCAAACACTCTACACACAAAGTCCCATTTAGCTTCTGTGTGAACGAATCAATTCAATTGGTGTGTGCAGAGCTTCTGCCTGCCAGCAAGGGAGACCTGTGTGGCGTGTCTGAAGACTGTTTATCCTCTGGAGAGGCTGGTGGCCAATCAACACGTGTACCACAGCTCCTGCTTCCGCTGCTCATACTGCAACACCAAGCTTAGGTGAGAACACAAACATGGTGACTTCCAAATGGAGCCAAAGGCAGCTGACCCAGAGGCCTAGTTTACTGTCAGATTGCTTGTCCAGATTTACTGAACCCAAAGATAAAATACAACATATTGAAATCTGTCACCTGAGGTCATTTCTTTGTTTAGAGAAGTTGGTGAGGTCACGATTGTCTTTAGGCCCTGGTGTATAAACAGAATTGAAAGAGGGTGTTCTTTCTTTTTACTGTTGCCTGTAAATTGGATGAAATACAAGATGCTTAAGATTATGACACGGCACCCTGAGCACACACACACGTCTCGTCCTCACTAGGACCTAGTAGCAGTTCCATTTCAGTAAGAATCAGACCTCTCTCTCTGTGACTATCTAGCAAAACACTTCACATACAGCACAGGAACTAACAGGAGTCCAAGCTGAACCCTGTGCTCTGCTGGACCTCAGTAGAGAGGCAGCAAACACTGCTGTATACAGCAACAGTCTGAAAAATAGCTGGAATGCACTGTATCGGTGACATCACCAGGAGAAGCAGGAGCAGACATCACTAACTAAAACTCAAATGCATTTGAAAGACATCTTAAAAATCCATCACTGATGCATCCTGGGAATCAACAATGGTCCTCTTCCAACTCACTGCTGTCATGTCTCTTCGCTATCTCAAGCACTGGGAGCTGAATGTTGTGATCATTCTGTAAATGTCCAGTCAAATCTCAATAAAGAACCCAGACTGAGAGCAACATCACAGTTCGAGTCTCTTTCACTGACAAAACCAAATTTAAGTTGCCTAACGGTGTTTCTCTTTCTTCCTCTCCTGGACAGCTTGGCAAACTATGCCTCCCTGCAAAACAGCGTCTACTGCAAGCCGCACTTCTGCCAGCTCTTCAAGGCCAAGGGCAACTATGACGAGGGCTTCGGCCTCCGGCCGCACAAGGAGCTGTGGGAAAGCAAAGGTGAGGATGCTGAGACCATGCCACAGTCCAACACTCCGACTAAGCTAAAGATCCAGAGCCCGGTGCCGGCGTCGGACCTGGAGAGCCCCACTGTGGAAGACTCCCCGCTGGCTAAAGTCAATGTGCTGATGGCCACCATGGAGGCTCTGGGACAAGGGTCGTCGGAGAGAGCCGACAGACCCGCTGAGACCCGCAGGCTGAAAATCTCCTGGCCACCACGCACAGAAGCAGAGGACAGCCGCAGTGGAGCCACAACAATCACAGAGGAGTGCTTCACCAGTAAGCCCATCAGAGCCATGTGGCCCCCAGAGGAGGAGCCCCCCATCTCACCCCCAGAACAGGCCAGAGAGCTGTCTCTCCTTCGCCGCAGTTCCTCCCTGAAGGAGCTGAGCATGCCCTTCACACTGTCAGGACCGGCTGCAAACACTCATGCTCTTGAGGCCAGAAAACAGAGTCCGGCGGCTCCTGTGGAAGACGGGCAGCTCAGCCCTGAAGTGTCAAGCATGGAACTGCAGCACGACAGCCGGACCCCCACGGAGGACAGTTGTGTGGACGTCCACAGCAGCTCAGGAGAAGAGGAGCAGGAAGGGGAGATGAAGAGTCTCACTCCCAGTGAAGATGGTGTGTTGGAGGAAGTGATGCCACCTCTGAGACAGCAGGAGACGCCAACAGAGCCCACAGCCGTGTCATCTTGTGAGGGAGAGGTGGAGGCCAGCCGCTCGTTTCAGGATGTGGGGTTCTGGGACAGTGACGAGGTGGATGATCAGGAAGAGGTGGAGCAGCAGGAGGTGCTGACCGTGGAGGAAATGATCAAACAGAACAGATGCTATGAGGATGAAGAGGAGGAAGAGGATGTATAAACTGAATTCCGTTTTGGCCCACAAGTGTGACCACTCGCAGGAAGTCGCGTCGCTCCTTCCTGGGGAAACGCCATGTCCTCTCGAGCGTTGCTGCAGCTCCACCGAGCTCCTTATTTGTGCCTCTTAAAACCTTCAGATCATTCCTACAAGAGATTTGACCAGACCCCTGGAGAATGTGTTGCTCTGGCGTGTTTTTAAATGTACAATATTTAAAATGATTTGTTACAATTATAGAACAGAAATGACCAAAAGTTTAAAAAAATGCAGGATAGATGTTTTATTTTTGTGTAGATGTCTTTTGTAATTTTCTATTTTCATCGGATGCTTCATCTCTTGAAACTACATGTTATTAGGTCACAGCAAACGTATCTCTCCTCACTACATGAGCTCTTGATGGAGTCAAGTTAAAAAGCAGCCACTGTGTGTGTTAGTCTGGCACCTTTATCTGTTGCATCTTTTAAAATGATCCATTTGGTTAGTTTCTGACAGTTTCCATGGACAATGAACCTGTCCCTTTCTTTACAGCTGCCATTCTGTATTTACATGTTAAACAAAAAGGTTCCTTTGTTTGCATTAGCAAGACTCTTAACAACATGCTGTTTTTAAAACCAGAAGATCAAAAATCCTTGATTGCTACTGTTCAAATAAACTGTTGTAGACAAAATATGCGAGTGCTGCTAATCTTGTGATACATGGGAATATTTCCATACGCGGCTTAGTTTTAGGAATATGCTACGTATTAAAAAAAGTTTACAGCCATACAGCTCTGACACTTTACTTAGTGGGTTTATGATTAGACTTGGTTGTTTTGGGATTAAAATACATTCAGTACAACAATACACTTGTTTTTTCTACCAAGATAAAGATGGGAACAGTGCTACAGAGCATTCACAAATTAACTAAAATGTCAAGAAAGAAAAATAGCCAGTTTAAAAGGACAATCTCCATAAGAGAAAATTAAAAGAAATATACTAATGATGGTGCTGCATAGAAAGTCACAAGAAAAGCAAGGTTATTTCAGTTCATCCAGAAGGGGACAAATACCTGAACCAAATTAGGGCAACAGTCCAGTAGCAGCCTATAAAATGACTATTAGAAAATGTAAGACCCCTAAACAGTCATTTAATAAGTCCCAGCATTTATCACAGCATTGTTACCAAACAGCACAGAGAACAGGGGTTTGGTACCTTGAAAGGCTTCACTTATTATAATTGAATCTGTGAAATATCTTTTAAACATTAAAACATCAACTTCTAAACCCTTTGAGGTTGAGATATTGAGTGATTTTTCATAAAGTGGGGCCAAATTCAGACAAACCCAGCTACTCAGGCACAGTTTTATTTAAAAGGAACACTGAAAATCAAAACAATCCACAAGTTGGTTACATTATAAACCTTTACTGATGATCACATGTATTGATCAAGGCCAGCAGAGTAAGGAAGTTAAGGAACTGTGACTACAGGAGTCTGAGCATGTCTGAAGACAGATATAACTAATTTACTCCAAAGTATTTTTTGTAAACAGATTGAGTAAACTTTTATACAAGTCACTTTAACACCCTGAGGGTAGATGTGGCTTAACTCTCCACATCAGTGTTTCATTCCTATCTTTGCACCGTCTAGCTGAAGCTGTACAGTTCAGGCCGTAGTACCCTGTACTCAAGTCTATCCAGCCCTGGAGGAGACAAAAACTGACTCCAGATCATTTCACCTCGGTCAGTGGCTCAAACACATGCACAACCACAGCTACAAAAACAAACACCCAGTCTCCAGCAGATGTGATTTAACAGGTAAACCCTGTGTAGTCATTTTATAGCACACTATACTTCTAACATATGAGTGATGCAGTTTGTCTACAAGCCAGAACTGCTACAGAAACCTGCTGCTTGAGGAGGAATGCACATCACAGATACAGGGCTGCTGATGTTGGACAGATGTGAAGGAGGAGACCAACGTTATGAATGGTTTGGTTAACTTCTGATACAGTATAACGATGTTATCATTAAAAAGAAGGAAAATAAAAACCATTATTTAGAATCATTTGTGGGGAAACCAGCTCCCACTGACACAACGTGACAACGGTATTTCTCATTCAGCCACACATTCAGCTCAGGGCCTTCAGTCCGACTCTCCTCTGTTCACCTGCTTCAGTGAACACGGAGAACGGGCATTTACTAATCCCGCTCTGAGTGCGTGTGAACAGGACTTTGTGCGCGCTCCTGCCTACGTGACAGAAGATGAAGTCCACCCATTTGTGGCTTCAAACAGAGCTGAGAGAGATCTTACACAGTCCGATTCAGAGATTCACCAGACGTGAACTGCACAATCTTGTCCTATGAACGATTCATGAGGATGTGGGATATAGGCACCGGCATCAGGACCAAAAATTCTTGATGGTTACTTTTGCTGTTTGAGGGAAATTTCATTCTCAAAAAATGTTACAAAACAATCTTTCACACTGCCCGCCTTCTACTGTTGCTGTCAGGAGTCCGATGGCCATAAGAGAACAGCAGTTTCTCTAGTGGCGCTGGGAAACCTGAACAAGACATGATTAATGGAGCAGCCACAGTTGTGTTTGATTCATCTAAAACTTCTTAACTGATTAGTTGATTGACAGCAAATTAAGTGTCAGCCACTTTAATAATCAATGTATTGGTTCATTTTTCATACGAAAATTTAAAACTACCCAGTTGTGATTGTGTTTTTGTTTCTCCTAGTCTTAAGCTATGATAAAATAACTTTGGCATTTTAGATGGATGATTGGACAAAACGGGATACTGTACCATTATATAAATAATACAATTAAATAAAAGTAAAAATGCCCGCTGTGAATGCAGTACTTTCGCCCATGCTTGCATCTTATAGAGATGAAGATTCCGTTTCCTGGTGATCTGGTCGGCCAGAAGTTGAGCTGTTTTTCACTAGGTGTTTCTCCATTCACCACAGGTTGCCATGATGATCTAACCTGGCTAAGAGTGAACCAGTTATGTGATAGCAGAAAACCTGAGCACAACCCAAAGGCAGCTGGCTAACCCAATCATCTGTCTTTGCGATATGAGCCCCTGATGCTGCGCAGATGCACCACAACAGCACGTCGCTGAACTGCTGGCGGCTACATATGCAGAAGTACATTGTTTTGTTAAAACCACATGATGCAATCAAACAGCAGTCTTCATCTCCAAAAAACATCCAGCAGTTAATTCTAGGGCATCGCAGAGGGGGCGTCACCGTCTCACTATACAAGCAAGGACATAATCTGAACAGATGTTCAGTGTCTTTGCTCTTAAACATTTTTAAACAGTCTGCAAAAAACCACATTCCAATAATGAAAAGAAAAACAAGATGGAAACTAATCCTTTGTGTTGAGTGCAAACATGCAGCGAGTCCATATGGAAACCAAAACGTCACAATACAGTACAACACATTACAGTATGATGCAATCTCACACAGTGGCCCTGCGACTGAGATGTCTGCACGAGGTTTGTAAAGCTGAATTTTACTTTCAGAGGTGTTTATAGAGCCCGGGTTGTATTTGTATGGCTCTACTTTGTGGTGATGTGTCAGACTGTATTACAGTGGAGGGTGTTTGTTATTTTGTACAACCACTGCCTGCATGTCTTCACTACATCCTTCCAGTAACCACCTGATGTTCTCAAAGAACAAAAACAAAACATTCCCTGAACATGTGACACAGAATAATGTAACGTCAGTATTTACCACATCACTTGTAGAGCACATACCCAACATGTGTAACCTAGCCCTGATCTGAAACCACAGAAGACCATCTAATCTACTGCTGCTCAGGAGCAGAACCCTGGGTTTGGTTGTGATTATCCAACTCACAATCCTCTGCAATAATCAGCTGTGAACACAGTAGATGCATTTCCGCAGCACTGAAACAGACGCATTTGTTCACTTCCAGCCAGCTGTGGGAGAGGAGCGAGCGAGGTGGGGCAGTGGCAGGGCCACGATCGCTCACAGGAGGGCAGCCTCACCCAGACACAGGACAGGGAGAGGGAGGGTGAGAGCGAGCAAGTAATTCCCTGAAACAAACTGCCAGCAAGCTTTGGATCAGCACAACTGTTGGCCTCGCTATGCTTTGCTTGGGTCATGACAAATAACATAGTGTGCCAGACCTCATGTGAGGGATTTAATAACTGAGTGTTTCAGAGAGACACTGCATGCAGAGAGAGGTTAGGTAAGACCACAGCAGGTTGCATAGAATTATCAGTTAAATATGTGTCAAGAGTCGTCTTCTCCTGCACTTTGCACAATGTAACCTAAACCTACTGTACAACCAGGTTGAAGCTTTGGTTGTGTCTCTGATGATGGACTGTGAAATGTCAAAGTCTTATAGATTAAAAGCCGGGGTGATGTCGAGGAAGACGACGGTGACGTGTAGCTGAGATGAGTGGTGAGTGTTAGCATGCTAGGCTGCCAGAGGCGAGCTCTGCGGTGCAGCCAGCTGTTTGCAGGGCATCACAAGCCCGTTCCTGATTCTCAGCTCATCCGCTGAGAGGATGCAGATCCACCTTCACCTTCTCTCCGCTGCTCAGCATCCCCACAGTGGGGTAGAGCCCCCCGGGAGGAACCGCCATCTCCCTCCGGCCCATCAGCTTCCCGTTCCTTGTGAAGAACACCTGCAGGGCCACAGGAGGGAGACAGCGAGTTAAAACACACACAAGCCTTTCACTAATGGTAAACCCACTGATGGAGCACAGGAACAATTAGACAAGAAAGTCGGGTCTTTTCATACTGATACTAATACAAACTTCATTTGAGAGCACCCAGTGTGCCAGTGGTACAGACGAATCATGTGCAGTCAGGAACTACTGTTAAACAGGTGACAGTGTAATGCCCATCTTCCAGAGAGGGGAAAAACGTCAGTGTTTACAGTACATGTCTCTGCTAAATCAGCGAGTCATCAAACATCATCCAGCCATTCTCACAAGAACATCAACACGCTTTTCAGGGCTAATACCAAGGGCTTCTTTCCAAGTCTGAGAGCAAACGCTGACATACTAAAACAACAAGTGAAGTACTGTGGAGTGTGTCTTCAGTAAATCAGGCTGAGTCACATATCAAACATTTACTGTACCACCCACTCGAAAAAGGCAGGCTTAACCGCTATTCACTTACAGCTGAGGGGGGAGTGAAACGGCAACGGGCTTCATCAGTCTGAACAACATGAGCAGCGTGGCAGCGCAGAATGTGCATCACACACACACACACACACACACGTGCAGTCGTGTGCACGGAGACCCCTGAGCAGTGCATTGAGGATAATGTGTCCTGCTG